GAGTGAGTGAGTGAGGCAGTGAGAGAGTGAGGCAGTGAGTGAGTGAGGCAGTGAGAGAGTAGGCAGTGAGTGAGTGAGTAAGGCAGTGAGTGAGTGAGGCAGTGAGAGAGTGAGTAAGGCAGTGAGAGAGTGGATTATAACTCTTTATGGGAGTAGAAAGCCTCCTTTCTCCTGCTAAACAGCTTGTGGTTTTGAACTGCCAGACCTGTGGATCACTCATAACCACTATGCTATCAGGGCTCCTTCTAGTAGCCATAACATCTACACTTTCAAAGAAATGGCAGGAATTATAGTACTCTCTGGGTAACTATGAATATCATGTACTTTCACTTCATCAAATGAGTAATTGTGATAGATGTTGAGAGGGAACAAGTGTTTAAATGGCTTATCTGAAGAATGTTTCAAAGACTCAAATAAACCACTCTGTGCCTAACATAAAAACCATGACCACCCAGTCCGTTTGAAAGGCTAATTCTTTGATCAGACATATTAAAGCAGACACTTTTCTTTTCAGGCAACAAGACAGTATAATTTTATGATAAAAGAGAGCAAAAAGTTTCACATGGAACAAATTCTCTATTTTTAATCTCTCTGACAAGAGTAGCCAGGGCCTGGCGATCTACTTCCAAAAACTCAGCCACTGAAAACCTATAGAACAGCTCTGCTTAGACATGAGTGGGTCTCCAAGAGCTGAACTCAGCACCATGCCAAGAGCGCCTAGCGGTTTAGTTGTAGCAAGGTAAATGAAAGTTCCAACAGAAAGGTAGGAGAGCAAAACAAAAGGGTTTTCGCAGGCAAATTCACTGAGTTCAGTTTTGAGTAGCAGCCCATTATCTGATCAGAGCTACACAGAGTCTGCTCATTTATTTGACTGACTTATTTACATGTTCCTTCTAATAAGGATTTGAAAAGAAGCCAGGTTTCAAGTACAGAGTTCGTGTAATCGATATTTACAAAGTGCCTGCTCAAACCAGCCACTACTAACTGTCAAAGACCCTGTCAAAGCCAGACGCACACTGCAGTGCTCCTCTGTCAGGTGGTGTGGGTGAGAGTCACCACACAGTGGCAGGCTGAGTGAGTCAAGGAAAAAGATAACACGAGTGAAAAGGGCATTGTGCCTGGTACAGCCAAGGTGGGCTACTGTGCTTGGGAGAGAGGCAGCGATGAATAGGAAGACCCTCGGTGAAACAGACAGACACAGTGGCTGCAACCACAACTCGCAGGCACCTAACAACAACAGCGAATAAAAATAACTTGAATTCTAAGGTCTTCTCATGTTTATTCTGTAGTCAGGTTCCTTTTCTTTCTGAGGAAAAAAATTGTTTTCTGGCAAACTCTGAAGGGGAATTTGAAATTGAGAAATGGTAACTGGCTTTAGCTGTGCTAGAACTGAACTAATTTCTGAACACTTCTGTAAAATGAATACTAGTTTTTACATTTTACTTTTCAGAAAAACTTTCCAAAAACTTGCATGCTACCTTTCTTGTGAAGGTTTACTTTACTTTTGCACATCACCTTATATATCCTCACAATGTTTCTATTTTAAAGATTTCAGAGGGCTGCTATGTTACCACTGTGATGTAAGAAGGAGCAGGTGGGAGATAATCAGCAAATGAAAAATGGAGGCAGAGAAACGATATAATCCAACTAGGCCAGGGACAAGGCGGGGAAGGTACTTCCTTCACTAGATGGCCTGTGCCCTCCTGTATAGACATTCACTAATATGTTTCTCCAACTTCTCACCCATCATTAGGTGTGCTTCCACCACCACTGAGTTATTCTGACTCACAGCCCCTCTACATAGAATCTCTGATGTCCTAAGCCTTTATGGGAGCTGACAGCCTCCTCCTCCTCCCTCAAATTGGCCTAAACTTTTTGAAATACCTTCACTCACAGAATTAAAAGGCTTTTGATACTGATAATACATCTAATCAGAACCCCGATTGATGCTATGGGCTAGGTGTTCATCTGCTAATCTCAAGGTCTGAGGTCAAACCCATTCACAGGAGGAGGATGAGTGGGAATCCACTCCATGGCCGGTGGTGCCTTTTCTCAACTTGGTGGTAAGAGAATGAATGCCTTTTGGAGTTGGAAATGACTTCAAGCCCCAGTTTAGTGGCTATGCGTTGGGCAAGTTACTAACTACTAGAATCTTCCGCTGCAGTGGGGCAATAGTATCTGATATTTTTGAAGAACGTTATTGAATGAGATGTGTGAATTTCACAGGACAAGGCTCAAAAAGGGTAAAGAATGCCACCATCCTTGTCCTAATTAAGAGCAGGGTGCAAATTTTAGATAGCTCCTGATGAGAAACTCGTTTTTAACATCGAGTCAAAGTGTTGATCTTAGTAATATTAAGGTGCCTATGCAAGACCAAACTCAGAATTCACTGCCACGGAGTCTATTCTGGTTCGTGGGGACCCAAGCGGGCAGGGCGGAACTGCCCCTGGGGGGTTCTGAGCCTGCAACTCTTTAGGGGAGCACAAAGCCTCATCTTTTCTTCAATGGAGCAGTCCAATGCATGACCAAGAAAGGCGCCTATGCCAAACCAGCCTGGTCAATAGATAAACCCAAAACCACCGCCATCGAGTCAATTCCAACTCGAAGACCTTCTCTGGTTCTGGAGACTGAAAACTTTGTGGAAACGGGGAGCTGTGAACAGTTGGTGGGTTTGAGATCTCGCGGTTAGCATTCCAATGCCTAGCCACAAGGAGCCCTCGTGGTCACTTCGCTGGGCCAGGCTTTACAAATCGGGGACAAAGGACATCGCGTATTCACAGCGGCGGTGGCCGCCCCGCCGGGCACACTCACGCGGGGGTGACGCCGCGGGGCAGCCCCAGGGCGTTGACGGGCGCGG